TCATATGAAACAATTTCAACTATTCTTACTTGAAGCAAATAGTAACGTGTATTATATCATTACGTAGTAGGAGATAATGTTTTGAGAACATTGGTATATTACTGTGTAAACGGCATAAAAAGTATGTAACACTAGTGAAGAAAGATAGTATCTTAAGCCTCGTAAGTGTCAATGCGTTGTTCCCATATTGTCTGATGATAATTTTCTCTATTTGAACACATTATGAAAGTCATCTGCTTCACATCTTAATTGAATATTTTATTTTTAACTGAATCTTTCCGATGCTTCCATAAAATTCTCTACATTTTCGAAATAGACGTGATTGCTTTGAGTTATCTACGAGTCAGTTAACATGCGAACAGTACCCTTTGTGCAAGCGAGATAATGTATCCTTGGCAACTTACTAACTTAATAGTGGCAAGTGACAGTTTTCGTATAAAGTAAATAATAATGTATCGGTCCCGTGGACAGGGTCGCCCCCTCGTGTAAGTTGTTTCCGCTTGCCGCCTCAGTGTGCGATAAACGCGCGAGATAAGTTTCAAGTTACACGGAGTGTTGAGCGACCAATTAAACATATTTGGGGATGGTGCTCGTTGCCAAGCGACGTCGTGTTGATATAATATTTCCGAGTCGAAAAAACTATTCAGAGGGTGATGATACACATAGGATGGTGATACGAGTAACCACAACTGCATGCATCAAATTCGTGTAGGAGCGGTCTCTGGCTCAGGCAATTTGTTTTTATTTAGAGAACCGGATAATAAACTGAATTGAATTCGATACAATATTTTGTATATATATATATATATCTCCTTTTGTACGTTACTGATGACTGTTTAACCGACGGCTGATTTCTTGGGACGATACAAGCAAGATGTGTGAGCTTAATTATTTTATATTAGGCCGACGTCGTTACGTTTAATAGTATGTTAGTGTCCAGGTGTATTTAAGTTTTTACAGTAACTTTCTCACGTATAAACATATGTATATAGTATATGTCAAAAATGTGTTTTGTTTTTCAAGTACAATTTATATCAGTAGAAAAATATTGTCTCAATGTGAATTAAAAATTATGACTTAAAAGCTAAAATTTTGCTGGCTTATTTCGAGATAAAATCAAGTCATAATATCAACAGATATGCAGAAACATAATGTGTATCCTATGTCCCGAATAACGTACACTCAAATAGTGAAAAAAAATTTCAAATAGTCACGTTTTTTACAGAGATAAACCACCATGTACATACATATAAACTCACAAAATTCGGACTCTTACTTTTTAATAATTTTATGCCAATAAATTAATATTTTTTATTCATCCAGGATGAAAATGCATTAGTAGAGAGCACTTTACGAGAGAGGGGATATTGTCACAACCACTTGTGTAATAAATAGTAATATCATTACTTTGATTGCTGCACATATTACACGTATGCAATATCATAGCAAAATAGTATTATAGGTTTGTGGTTAGGTTACAATCATTGGATCAAAGTAATATAAAAGGAAATCAGCCACTTTACAAATATGGGTTTCATTGGGCAAGGAACCAATACGACCTATAATTGCAGAACTGATTTGGACGCCGAAGAGACTCTACTATTAATAGTTGTATAAATATCTATATTTTGTACGTCGAAGTAGAACAGTTACTCAGAAGTTTGCTTCGCGAAGCAAGATTGATGATTGTGTAGAGACGCTACAGAATAGATACTAATAACTGGACGACAAAAGTTTTCGAATTTTGTATCAATATCTTTTTTGTCTTCATCTTATATCTATTAGATGAAACGACAGTAAACCAAAGTCAATGAACCGATAGAAATGGAGCTAGAATCTTATCTCTAATCTTAATCATTGGGACGTTATATATACGTATATATATATATATATATATATGTATGTGTGGGAGCACACTAGCCCCTAGCGCGTGAAATCAATACCTTGACATGGTAGCTTTCCTTATGGTATATATGGTAGCTTCATGGTCAAAACAGAGGTAAATGAACCTATGAATGAATAATGCATCGATTTTCGTAAAGTCACGCTTCTGGTAATTTCCTGCATTTGCAGATCGTTTGGTGATTAAGGTAATCGGAGCCAACACTCTTAAAGTGGCATTGAAACCCAACAAGATTTGTGAATGGGTAGCGATGATCGTTTCATGTCAAGATTTGTTTAATGCAAAAGTTGGCAAGCAAACATGCGGTCGAACTGATGATATTCATATCGGTGAAAGTGTCTCGTATTTTGTAGACAAAATACTTGCATATAACCGATAGGGATTTGAGAACGGATGAAACGTAAACAAACCGTACGTGACAAGTAACGGCTGCTAAGAGAGCTAGCGTTTAAATTGAGAATAGTTTACTCGGAAAACAAAAGGGTCCTTATTATACGTTCTATATCTAAAATTTGTACATATCAAGTGATTTAGTGTACAAAACTTTTTTTATATATATCTCGCTAAAATATTCGTTTGTTTACGTAGTTTTATTTACATGTTTTATCTATTATCTTATATGATAAAGTATCATTAGCGAAAATGTCATTGCGAACACATATTGGTAACACTACAATTTTGGTATGACTTTATTCTTAATGATACTACTACTATTAGACTCTGGTAAGTTTGTCTTGGACAGTTTTTTGTTCATTTCGGGATTATGCACAAATTTCAATAAAATAAAATTAGACTTCAGTTTATATTGTGAACAGAAAATAAGAGAGGAATATTTGAATCATGTTGTAAGGGGTATTGATTAGACTTTTACTCCTGACGTCAACCTGAGAAGGAACACCCAGATCTGGTAAAATATTTCTGGGTTAAAGAAATCCATGACTCATCTAGGACTCGAACACACAACACCAGGCGCCGAAGCTTATCTACTTCGACACTAAGTCATTTGGGACATACTAGATATGCAATATTTAAATTAGAATAAGAAAGGTGTCTTCTTCTCTCTCTAATTTAAATAGGGGTCCAGTTACGCGTTCAAAGTAATATTTTGAAGATTGTTGTTGAACCGTTACGTTTGATAGTATTAAGATTAAGATAATCGCAAAAATATAATAAATAACAAAAATATATAACAATAAATAACCTGTCTGTACCTTGGCCTAATTCCAAGACTTACCCGAGAATGAATCTTCCGTGCTAAACGCCTATAACCAAAATAAATAGATTAACGACTTTCGGAAGTGAACGTTGAATGAAAATTCGCACTGCATTGTTTACCTTCAATGCTGTAGTAGAGCTGTAGTAGGACACAAGACGTAAAAAATTATTCCGGTGCGATACGGCTTAAAGTATACTGAAACATATTTAAGCACGCGGCTGCGATCGCCGTTTTTATACCAAACTCCGGTACGACGAAACCATCGGCGATTCATTTTACGATCGTCTGTGCAGGCATTCGAAGGGTCCATGTTGAAATTCCACTTATTAAACTGCACCTCTTTATGTCCTCGTAAATTACGCATTATGAGTTCAATGCTTTCTTTAATCTGGCCGCGGCGTTCTATCCCGAATGAAAGCCATTGATATTTCACTTAAGATACAGTGAATATCATAATTACGAAGTTACGTGACGCGCCGTATTATGGGTGAAGTATAGTTACGCTATAACATGTAATCCCCTTATGGCAGGGTGCTTTGGGTTAAATTGATGGAACATATATGTATATGTATATCAAGGTTTATTATGGGCACTTTTATGATTCGTATTTGAGTGAGCATCGCCTTAACAGTCTATATTTACACGTAGGCTAATTCGTTCAATCTAGCAAGTTTACGCGCATTTTAAGTTTTTGTTAATAAATTACTGGTAGACGTTTTCAGACGCTTCGCGAATAGTTCTATCTCGTTTAACAAGAATTAGGTCGTCGCCATCAGAATTATGATACTTTTCCGCATCGTTTTCGTTGTTGGGACATTATTACTAATTGCTTTATTTAGTAAGACGTTCGTTTACTTTTGGCTTATTTTTATTAACAACTGCTTAGATTTTACGGCAGATTAAAACAATTTTCAAGTACCTACTATATTTTGTTATCGTCTGATGCAATGGCGTTTACTGTCATGTCATGTATTATATTACACTTGTACATTTTAATTTGTATATTTTTAATTTAAATAAAAGTATTTTTCCACAATTGCGTGAATATGACTTATTCTTATTTAGTGACAACGAAATCAAAATTAGTCTTACGATGATTTAGTACAGTATTTATCATGTACCTGTGGAATAGTTCTAAATTAATCTAGGCTCGGGGTTCACTATTCCCTTTTACTATTTTGTGTTTGAAATAATCATCTTTTGTGGATAAAACTTTACATTCCCTTTGAAAGATATCAACATTTGTCAATGGTGTTAGGTCCTTAGGTCTTTGAGCTTTTACTACTAAGTGTTAACGATTACTAATGCCCGGGCGAAACCGGGCGTATGTCTTATATTCTAATGCCGTACTATATAATACCGAAATTAAACAAGAGTTTTGAAATGATTCGATACTGATCGTATTACGATTGTCACATAGATAATAAACACTTGGCTGTATGCAATAGATATTGGGGCCATTATCGACGTCTATGAATTAATAGTGACGCAAGGCCTACCGACCCACGCGCACCCTTCTATTACAATGAGTTTTACACTACTATGCAACATGTAACTATGTATATAAGTGAAATCATGAGTTGTAGACTCACGAGAATTAGACCCATTTAAAAATAAACCAGTGTCGTGTTAACATTTTTAAATCTTTTATCTATTGCGTTGTCCCGTGGGTGAAAGTTTAGCTTTATAACAAGATCTATAAAGTATGTAACACTGTAGGGATTACAAAACGGTGCCTGCGTAGGACAAGCTTGAGATGAAGTTACCAGGAGAGCAGTTGTTTAGCGATCCCTCTCTCAAATCCACCGCAGACGCTTCGAGGGCCGCGGTTTAACAAGATAAGCTGCGAACCCTTCCCGAGTGCATAATGTCATCCCGCTAATGCAGGGTTCCCTAATGCGGACCGCGGCTGCGTTTTCGCCCACCGTCACAGCCAGTTCGCATCCCGGCGCGATCAGTTCGGAAGGGGCGAAGGCCCTCTCTGGCCGAGAGCGCTGTCTATCGTGCGGATGCGTCGCCCGCGCGCGCACGTACCTCGTGCGCCCTACGTCGTGCGCGTACCGCCTCTACCTCGACACGCCGCGACAAACCGTCCCGTGGATATTGTTTACGGTGTGCAAAGCTCGTTGCGTATTTATAGAAGCCCGCGCCGTCGCCCGTCTAAGTGGTCGCAGCGATGGAACCGATTCACGATGCTTATTTCGACGCCGCGCTCGGACGCCGATTCGGTTTCTATGCGTTTTGTTTATTCCATCGTCTCGTGTGATTCACGTCGGCTCGCGACCGTGATATGAACCAAGGGAGACTGTGTGTTTACTTTGATCGCTTCTCGGTACGTCCGTGATCTTGGGGTGCTTTGGAACCGTCCATCCGCGTCTTTCTTATTCAGATGTGTAGAAGTTTAAAGTTCTTAAATTGCGAACACATCACATTTTTTTCTGTCAACTTTTCTTAATAGATATTACTGAAACTTTATTATAAGGTTGTATCGTGAAATAGCTGCACAAGTTAAGCGATTGTTTTGTTTTCTTGTACCTCCGCAGTCCGAACGGTGACTTGCAACAAGTCTTTCGTTTTACTTATTGCCGGCGGGGGCAGGCGAGGCTGTCGACTGGACCAAGTCTCGTCCTGCCCCCGTAAAACACCTAGACTGGTCTCGTTACAGGGATAAATTGTTTTCGATTAAAACTTGAACGGTTGAATCGAAAATCTATGCACATTCACTGCGGCTTAGTGATTGCGCAAAATAAAAATTGTATGGGTATAATTTAATACTTTAAGCTTTGGACGTAAGATGTTTGACGACAAAAACTGTTATTTAACAAAACAATCATGGCAATTCGTACCAGATATATTATTATAAAAAGATTTAAAGTATCAGTCAACTCTATTATTAATCAATATTTTTACATTAAAATCTAAAAGATTCTGAAGAAGTTTTAAAAGATTTTATAAATCAAAACTTACGTGTTTCTCTTAATGGTGTTCCAACAAAGCTCCCTGAAAAGAGTAACGGTTCATTTTGAATGATGTTTTTTCCCTATCTTGAAATTTCAACCCAGCATTATACAGGTCGATGTCATTTTCATTATGTGATTTGCAGTTATTGCATTATATTTACATGATTACACGGAATTTAGATTTTTTGAGACTCCAAACACAATATGTAAGTGTAATTTGATAATTAATTTTTTTAATGTTTTCAGATTTCCATTTTCAATTTCGTCTTTAATTTATTTGATCTAATCTGATAATATGATATATATCATATTAATTATTTGCCGAATAATTCTACAAATTGACACTTTCCTTAAATATATTACATTTATGAAATTGGTATCGGGTAAAGTCTTGGAAGAGCGTGCACAATATTTAAATGGATTTTTGTTTATAGTGTAAAACGGGAATGGAATTTCCGATTTCGAGAGATTGTTAGTATGTTAAGAGGTTCGGATATTCGTTTATCGAACTAAACCAGTTTGCGGACCAACCTACATGTGGGTGTGCAAACACTGCCTCGGCGCAATGCAAACTCAATGCAAACTCGAATCAGATACGCAAAGCAATGTATTATGTACGTATCGTTTAACTCGTAAAAGTTATAATGAACGCGGCTAAAAAAAAATAAAAGATATACGCAAAACAATGTACGTTTCGAATAACTCGTAAAACTTACATTAAACGCGGCTGAAAAAAGGAGATATGTACGTATATACATAACAATGTAATATGTACGTACGTTTTGAATAACTGGTTAAACTCAAATTGAACGCGGGTCAAAAAAATAAAAGTTAAATTCCGATTCCTTACGGTATTTAAACATTCAGGTTTGTTTTGTGGAATATCGTCGTTGGAATCCGCAAAGTTTTCACTGGGTGAACTTACAATAAAAATGTATTTACTTAAATACTTTTTACTATATATCAATAGCTAAATTTAAAAAAAATAGTAAAAGAAAGTTTGGGTGTTAAAGGCTACTATAATATTAATGATTATTTAAATGATAACACACTCTGGTAATGAACTGATCGCTCCAGGCTCTTTCAATCAGAGTCCTTATATTGTATTTTTAAATTTTATGAATTCATGTCAAACTGCTTATATTAAAAAAATAAAAATAAAAAAAAAGCCCGCTGAGTTTCTTTCGCCGATTCTTCTCAGTACAGTGGCCTTCTTTTCCGAACCGGTGCAGTAGTGTTTGACTATCAATAAGCGAGTGCTTAATGCTCCTATGTTGAATAAAGACATTGATTTTGATTTTGATTTTGATTTTTGACTATGTACTTATCTAAATAAATTAGTTTTAAAGTTAAGTTAAAACTAATTTAGCGGCACATGATGACACAAATGGCAAAAGTTATTGTAATAATTTGAGAAAGCTTTTAAAACTATCTTTAAATGTTTATGTCAAATATTATGGTCCATGATTAAGATACATTAAAGCAGAAACCACGACACTGTTATAAAATTTGTAAAAAAGATTCGTGTCTATATCGTAAGTTATTAAAAAAAATTAAACGAAATAGTCGACGAAATTCATAACACAAGTAATCCAATGTTTGAATATCATGAATTTAACATGTGTTCTTAAAATATTGCTGAATGGGGGAGGGGACTGAAGTGCCGTAAATTTTAAAATTTCTTGTTACGAGTAATAATAATACATATTCTTATAACTTATTATTTTTGTACGTATACAAAAACTATATATTATTCTACTAATATTTTATTATATATTATACTATAATATTACTAACAATCATTTGTATTTTAGGAAAATTTGAGTTTTAGGTGATTTCACAAGCATACTTTTGTGGAAATTGTCCCATCGGCATTTGTGTCTAATCTCTTATTTGTATATATGTCATAAACTTGTACGTGTCATAAATTTATTACTAAAAAGTATTCCCAAGTTTTTGAAATCATTTTTGTTTCCATGAGACTCATAGTAAAACGTTTTATTAACATTATTGGATGATAATAATCAACATAGACAGTCTAACGGAAAAGTTAATACTATTTAGGGTTTCTGTGAATATTTTTAAAAAGTGGAGTTACATTACTTAGATATTTCAGATGATTATAATTAAAGCAAATTACGCGGTGATTTAATTTTCCCTCGAATCTTTTTAAAGTACTAAATGTTTTAAAAATAATTTTTATTGAACTAAGTACATAAAAAAATATTGAAAGATAGCGTCGCTTATGTCCGTCAGCATTATTTCGTTTGTCGAAATCGTAACGGGAGGGAGTTTTGGGGTGGGCACCCCAAAAGATTCTGCGCCCCCGTCCGTTGAGGACAACAATAGTTCACACGAAATAATCGATATCACCCATACCGTTGCTGGATCGAGGCCCGTTGTGGATATTTTGAATTGTTTTGTGCGCCTGCACTATAGGGGGATTTCGTTTGAAGAGTTAATGAAATTATTACACGCAACCAATTTCAGAACGATATCACGCGGCACACAGTTCATATTATTTGATTCGTATATTGATACGAATTCAGAGACTGGCAGAGTTTTTGTGTTTTCTTTAATCTATACCAAGATTAATATTAGAAATAGGTAACGTTTGTTTTAATTTTTTTATGTTTTTTAAAACAATTCCAACCGTAGTTTAATTTAGCCAAGAAACCTAAATAAAAACTGCCTATTATAGATTGTTGAAGAATTAATCAAGGACCAAGATGTGTGGAAATAAATCGTAATCTACAGTTGCAAGTTCTGGCTTATATTACTTTGAATTTATAGTAAAAAACGAATTCTTAAAAAACAATGAATATTTGAAAAACTTATCGCCTGGGCATGACCAAATTTAGGATCTGTTGGAAAATTTATACATTCACGAGTACTTTAAACAAGCATTTATATAAACATTGTAACTTTGTATTATAGTTAAAATAAAAGTATTTTAGCGAAATCATGACATCATGAAATATGAAGCTAGTCTATAGTTAATGGATTTTTTCTCCTAAAAACTTTATTGCCTCGTTTAACAAACATTGCAGTAAATACAAGAATTAGCTTGTTTCGTTTGCATTTCATATGATTCCTTGCTCGATGTTGTTGTTGAGTTTTAGTAGACATTCTTGGTAGTTAACATACGCGTGATAAGACTTGAGTTGGTGTTATTGTCTTATTATTAGCTTCGTTTGTATCGAGTAAGTGCACTATCACATTATTTTGTACCAACCAATTTTATTACTCCTAATTTATTAAACCACTGACGTTCAGGCTTTCTAGAATAAAGTTTTTCAAATAAGGTTCATATTGATAGATACATGATAAGGATACAATTGAATATATATATATATACCCAATTTAGTTCAAATCTGTAACACATTCATCGTTTGCAATGGGATCGCCTAGCATTTCCCTCTATTTTATGTCCGTGTGATTTGCAAAATTGCCGTGGAATCACTCACATTTGACAGACAATATTTTAAAACCTCCTAGCGTTAGTCGCTCTTGAATGATGTGAAAACGCGGGAAGGGAGAGTGAGTGATAAATCTGACTTAACGTCATAGGTCCGTGCTTCCCTACCCACAGGTCCCGTTGCTGCGACGCTAATGAAAATATATCGAAAGCGGCACGCCATTGCTACTTTTACGAAAGCATTGCATCTCCAGGAGACTGTATAGTTTCTAAGCACTATATTATATTTATCACTCCTTCTGTTTAATGATAAGTTTTATCTTATGTACATACAACTACTTTAGATTAACAAGTATGAAGTCTTTATTCATTTTTTTTAATTAAATTGGATGGAAAAGAAAACAACTTTTATTCGGAAATATTATGGATTATTCGTTTCTAGCACCACAGTTTTACAATTTTAATAATTATGAGTAACTAGCAAATTTTCAGAATTTATTTGCTAGAGGATAAATTCAAAAGTTTCATACAGTAGACTTTATTATTGTTATTTATGGGCTGGGGACAATGCGTTTGCAGTCCACGGTGCTAAAATAAAACAATCTGTAGTTTTATGAAGTTATATCTAACTTAATTAATAAAAAGTAAAAATAATTTAATATTTTGGGGTATATCATATAACAACATCTACACAATGTTGTTTAGTCCAAAACTAAACAAAATTTATGTTAAAAAGTGCAAAGAGGTAACTGATGGACATACTTTTTCTCTTGAAATAAATACTTATCATTAGATATATGAACACTAGAAAAACACTATGATCAACACATAATGTTTAAAGATAGGTCAACTATCCTATACGCAGACAATTAAATTAAATTATTTTATATTTGCGAAATCATTGGATG